TGAGCCGAACTCTTGTTTGAAATTGCTTAGTGAAACGTGCGATAAACCTGTTCTTGGGCTGCCCGCTGCCAGAGTGGGAAGCCAGCCTGCATGCCACTCAGCCCATGTCTAGAAGGGCAAGTGAGGAGACTCCTCCCGCTAGAATGTGACTCCGTGCTCTGTGCCCAGGGCTGAGCACAGGCTCTGGCAGAACTCCATCACCCTCTGCTGATTGAAGAGCCCAAAATAACATGGAAGAGGCTCATTTTCTCACCTCCCTGCCTCTCCAGAGACCAGAGGGAGCACGGAGACTGTCCTCCGAGAGCCAGTGCTCTCTGGAGTAGGAACATGCCTTAATATTTCAGATCCCCTGGAGCCCTGCTGGTTATGCAGCCCTTGGAGCTCAGTTTCAAGCCCACCTGTCTCCACTCTGCTGTGGCACTAGGGCTTGGATGGAGCACAAATCTTCACAGGTCTTATTAATAAAAACAAACCTGGAGCCAGGTATTGGGGTGAACGCTGAAAGATCAGAGAGACAGAACAGGCCAGAGAGACAGAACAGGCCACAGCTACCTCACCTGGCCAACTTCTCAGTCGATCCTGTTTCCTCAAACTGGAAGCCTCTGTGTCCTCATCCAGAATGAATCTCAGCCTCTAGTTCCTGGTCTTCATGCCTTAAATACCTTTCTGCTACCTGCCATCACTTCCTGGGATTAAAGGCTCTTGTTACCATGCCTGGTTGTTTCCAGTGTGGCTTTGAACTCACAGAGATCCAGATGGATCTCTGCCTCCAGAATGCTAGGATTAAAGGTGTGAGTGCCACCATTTTCTGGCCTCTATATCTAGCAGCTGTTCTGTTCTCTGACCCCAGGTAAGTTTATTAGGGTGCACAATATATTGGGGGACACAATGTCACCACACTGGGATCCCACAAACTGTTTTGCCAGCAGCCCCCTGTGAGGTTCTGCCAACAGAGAGGGGAGGGAGGGAGCCTGCGAGGCTGGAGGAAGAAGAGGGCCTTGCCCCTCCCTGCTTATTTATCTGTTTAATCAACAACAGTCTTCATGGCAGCTGGCCCCAACAGCCATAATTCCACTCACAGTTCCTCCTCCATGACCCGAAGCCCTCATTGTCCTCTCTGAGGGAAAGTAGCACCCTTTCTACTTAGAGGTCCCAGATGCACAAGGTCCCTTCTTTAAACTCACAGGCTCTGTTAACCCCAAGGAAGGAATTAACTAGGTATAACCTTGACTGGCCACCCAGAAACTTGGTAAAACACAGGTTGCTGGGTTCCACCTTCAGAATTCTCATTCAGTTTGAATATGCATAGCGAATAAGATCCCAGGTGACAGCTGATCTGAGGGGTTGGCCAGCCATGGCACACAGTCCCAGCCATGGCAACTGTCCCCTGCAGTTACTACTGCACCCTCCCCGGCCTGCTCAGTCACCTCCCAGAGTCAAATCCTGTTACGATGTCAAGTGTGGGGATCTGTGTCCTGACTGGATCTTGCCTATTGCAGGGACAAGGCAGATTCACCCCCCATGGAAAACCTGTTTCCCACAGCATTCCCAGAAGTCACAGCTGCCCCCTAGACTGACCCTGGTACTCCTGTGATCGAATGAGAGCGGAGATTTCCCATTGCTAAACAAGGTGGAAGAGGCCGTTGGTGCACACGCCCAAGCCCACTAGGTCCCAAGGGCAAGCAGCAGCCCAAGGGACAAGCCACGGCTGCTCTGGCTCCCCAAGGCATCCTCCAAACAGGGCATGTGGTTGAAGACCCACCAGGTAGATACCACAGAAGATACTACCCCTGGATGTAATTCAGGTGCCCGGGTGGGGTTGCCCAGATGCAGTCATCGGTCGGTAAACAGGACCCAGAGACCTTGAGAGTTCAGAAGACCTTTCCAGACAAGCATCACTTGACAGCCCCATAGACAAAACCGAGGATGGCTAGGATTCTGCTGCTAAAATGGGAGCCGGGAAGTCACACAGAGCCCCCAGCTCTGCCTTCCTAAGGCAGGGGCCTAGGAGATGACCCTGGGTGGAGGACCCTGTGCTCTTAAGATAGCCTTAACCTTCCTCTGCCTGAAGCCTAGAGACCTGGTCTTCCCAGCTCTGTGGAGCCAAGAGTCTCCTTCTGTGTAGACCCTTGAAGGATAGCCACCACTGGCCCAGGCCTACACAGCTCCAGCAGGCCACCTTCTCCTCAGCCTCACCAATGAGTTCATTTCCATAACAGCCATCATTTTTCCCTCCCAAACTCCCCACTCCACGGCCAGCATGTCCTCTGGTGGACAGCCGCATCTCTGTCTCCACCAGAAAGACTGAGATGTGCTTCACTCTCATGAAAATAACAGCGAAAAAATGGAATGGTACTTCAGGAACCATTTCCCTAAAGAGACATCAACAAATGTCTACCCTCTCCTTAGAGCGCTCCAAGGACCAGGCAAAGTCCAAAACAAACTGTGACTCCCCTAAAGCCCAACCTGGGGAACCAATGGGATCATTGGGCTAACTTACAGAGCATGGATGAAGGGCTCTTGGAAGAGTGTGGTGACCCCAAAGCAGCCTCACTACTGAAAGTCTCACCCCAGCATGGACGACAGCTTCCCCATAGCTGCATAGGTAGATTCCTCTCCTCCCGGCTAACCTTCCACAGCCTGCATACTCTAGCACGCCCCAAGACCAGAGGCCGTGTGCAGTTAGGGCAGAATGGCATACAATGGCTGCGAAGTATGGGAGCGTGTGGCTGGAATCTCAGGAGACTCCAATGATCTTCGCCCTCCGCCTTCTACGAGAGAATAGTCACCAACCCCGTGAGTGGCCCCAGTGCTCAGGGGAGATGATAGCTGTTGTTCTCGAAAGATAACCTCTTACAACAGACAATGAAGGTGCTCTTCCTTACTGCCCTATTGACATCAGCATCTTCTAGTTTACACCTGATTCTTGATTCCTCCATGTGTGCACACACATGTGCTTGTGGGGACTGAACTGTGGGCCTCACACATGGTAAGCATGTGACTCGGCTGTAACCCAAGCCCCAACCTGAGTGTTAAATGGTAAGGAGCTCTAGAGAGCCTCAGAGTATAAAGGGGCATTTGATTTTCAGTGAGCCACGTGACAGAGGCAAGGAAGTGACCTGAACGGGAGGATGCACAGGGGTTAAACCACCCTAACCAGGTTTACTGACCACTAACCAGGTGATTCCACATTGCCTGTGAGATGCACATCATCCAGCAGCTTGCCTTTTCCTTATCATTTTTCTTCTTCAAGGGCCATGGTCCAGCTCAGACCCTCGAGGATTTCTTTCTAGTGGTCTGTGAAAAGTGGCTTGACTGTGGCCCCAGAAAGGGCTGAGAAATCAGAGAGGCCCCCACACCATCTCTTCACTCAGCCCAGGAGTCTTACGCTCTGGGCCCACTCTGCTTAAACTCACATCTCGGTTTCTCCTGCTCCCATTATGCCATATTACTTTCATGTTCTCCAGAACATGGATCAAAACTATGAAAGCACGTCAGGAACAAAGCAGTGAGAATTTTCTATCAGGGCTCTGGTGCAGGTCCATTTCTGGTGCCGAGCATAGGTAGACACTCATGAATAGCTAGCAAACCAGTACCAGCATGGGCTACTGCTTGCTGGCTTTTTAGAGCTCTAAAATGTTTTTTTATGTGCATCAAAATTATCAATCAGGGTTTGGGGGTAGAGGTCTGTGATAGGCATGTGTTTATCAGGCAAGCAGGCCGGGGTTTAATCCCAAGCTCCAAAATAACCATTACTGACAGCATCCAGTGGAATGTTTGTTAACTGATTCTAGTTATCGTGAGCTGGTGTCTACTTCCAGGAGGACCAGAAATCTGTTTTCATCAAATTCTGATGACTCCAACAATAAAGATGACAGGGGGAAAATAGTGATTGAAAAATGCAACTGTTGACATATCAGACTAAGTACCCAGTCCCAACAGCTGTATGAACTTAAAGATTATTATTTTACTCTCTAGACTCTATGTAAAAATTGCATGAATCTTCCCTCCCAAGTTTATTGTATGACTATGTTCAATGTGGCAATTTCTAAGCTCCCTTTAAAAGAAAAAAATCTTTATAAATAAGTATATTTGTTCAATACAGCTGATCACGACAATTTGCCAATGAGATAGCTGGGATTGGCATGTGGTTGCATAAGATTGAATGTTTAAAGTCCAGCTGAGTGAACTACACATGTGAGTGTGTTTTTGCAGGTTTTGGTGGATGTGCATATGTGTGAACTCCTGAGTAGGGCTTTTCACACTTAAATTGTATGCAGACCTCACAAGGATGTTGCCATCGTTAGCTATAGCTCTCAACTCGACACAGCCTAGCATCATCAGAGGGAATCAGCTGAGGCGTGGCCCAGAGCAGATTGCCTGATAGTGCTCTTGACTGATGGCTGATTGGGGAGGGCCCAGTCCCATGTGGGCAGCACCACCCCGGGATTGTATAAATATGCTGAGTCTAAGCTGCTTTTTCTAAATTCTCTGAAATGCCAGAGTACGGCCACGCTCTTAAAAACCTAAGCCTTGGAAACCTTCAATCCTGATCTGACGTCAGTTGTCTGGGGCGTCCCGCTGCCTAGTTGATGCTGCAAGCTTATGGGGTGGGGGTGGGGGTGGGGAACCTCCAGATTCCTATTGTTTCTTTATTTTAACTGCGTGAAGTGTTCCATATGGGCAAGGCTCAGGCACTCCATCTCACCAGTCCACACTGTGCCCCACCCAGTGAGTTTTAGTTTAGTCCTCACACATCTGGGGACAAGGACGCTTGAGGTTCAATGTCATTTGTCCTAGAGTGGCAGGGTGTGTGAAATTTGAAATACGTAAATAAGCAGGAAAGTGAAGGAGGCGCCTCGGGGAAAGAGTGTCCAGTGCACTGCCCCCCCCACGACGCCCACTGGGACATAAAGTGGGAGGGAACTTGGAGCACCCCATCTTGCAACCTTTCACCAGCTAAGACAGGTACCCCGGGCCCTGACACTGTGGCTCATTACCGATTTCTCCTGGTACATGCTTGCCATGGAACCGAAAACACACGGTGACGTTCAGGCAGTTCACAGGCTGCTGTCCGTCATGACACTGAGGTGCTGTGATGTTGATGGAGACTGGGAGGAAGATGGAGACATCCACAGTGATGACCGGTCTGGCCCTGCATGACAGGGAGAGGGGAGGGACCTGTGTTAAGTACCAGCTCTCAGAACCAACAAGAACTATACGGGCAGAATAGACCCTGGGACTTCAGCCAGCATTTAATTAAAGAATGAAATGCCCCAAGAGAGAAAGGCTAGTGTGCTCTGTAAGTATTTTTTTCTGGTTTTAAAAGTAGCGCATTCCCTAAAATACTAATGGTTTGCTTCCCGGTAACAAAGGCAAGTTAGTTGTTAATGAAACCCAGCTGGCTAAAGCCGTAAATCAAGCACCAGATGCTGGGTGATTATTTAAAATTTCACCCAAGAAGTTCCGATTTCCATTTCATTGGGGAGGCATGAATGCACTGAGGAGAAGTGTCTACACACAAGCCCTGGTTCAGTAGCCGGATGCAAAGCTGGTGTGACAGCTCACTCCTGAGATCCCAGAATTGGAGCGACTGAGTCAGAAGGACTTCCCAGAGTTCTAGGCCAGCCTGGGTCACTGTGTGAGAGCTTGCTTTAAAATGCCAAAGGGAGGGATAGGAGGGAAAGGGGGGCGGGGAGAGAGACAGAGAGAGACAGAGAGACCTCTAGATACATACTGAGTGGTTCCCTTGCCACTGCCGGCATAAGTTGACCAAATTCCCTCTTACATTTATGTCTACCAATTCATTGAATATAGTCTAAAAAGAATTGATTGATGGAGTCCCAGCTGGTACCAGCAAAACACTTCAAGGAATTAACCTGGCTAGCCTTAGGGCAAAGCAAAATCCAATAAACACAGCCCTCTTCCTGACATGACCACCGGTGCCCCCAGTGCCTGATGGATGGACAGCATCCCTGGACTCCCCCGGGGCAACAAGACAAAAGCTGGGAAGGAAGCAGGCATCCCTTTCCCATAGCACACAGCTGCTCAGGGAGGAGGCACCTAAGCTGTGGCTTGACCTCCCCCCACCCCCACACCTGCCCTGACCTTCCAGAGAGAACCCCGCCCCCAGGATCCCTGGCCTCCATGCTTCTGGAGTGATGTGAGATTAAGGGGCATAAACTGGGAACAGTGCCCTCATGTGTGTGTAAGGCTCACCCAAGTGCACCAGGGTGACAGGACCATGGAACACATGATCGAAGAACCCCAAGATGAAAGGAAAACCTGGGTGCATAATGCAGTGAGGAGACACACTGCACAGAGGGCACAGGACCCCGCTGCTGCTGCCGCTGCTGCCATTGCAGGGTCAGAAGGTCAACAGAAGGGCAGCTGTGACTGGCAGTGAACTGGGGAACTCTGAGCAAAAGACAGACAGACCGCAATAATGCCTGAAGAAACCAATAGCCTAGTCTATTGATTTTCTTCTGGGTTCATCCTTAGAAGATGCTAGAATTACTTAGAAAGATCATGTCACCCTAGTTGGTGTAAGATGATGTCATGGTTAACTTTGTCAAGTTGACAGGATCTGGAATCATCATGAACACAGGTGAGGGAGTTTCTAGATTGGGTTAAGTGAGGCAGGAAGACCCACCCTGGATGGGAATAGTACCATCCTATGGATGGTCTCTGAATAAAGGATAAAGCGAGCTGAGCGCCAGCGTCCGTTCACTCTGCTTCCTGACAGCAGATGCGAAGTGACCTGCTGCCTCATGCCCCTGCCACCATGACAACCCTGCTATGACCGGCTGTGATCCCAACCTGAGTAAACAAAACCCTTTGTTTCCTTACCTGTTAGTCCCCCCACCCCACCCCCACCCCACCCCACCCCCACCCAGGCATTTTGTTATAGCAATAAAAAGTAGAAACAGCCCTCTCTCCTTCCCCTCCCTCCTCCCCCAGTGTGGTCTCAGCTCTGTTACTTTACTTCTCCACCACTGCCTTTCTGTCTTTTTCTAACCCTGACCCACAACCTGAAGCCCATCACCGGGGTGGGGACGGCAGCGACAAAGTAGCCACAGCTTCAGAGAGAGCCAGGCTCCTTTCTACAGTAACGCCCTGGCAAGCTCTGTCCTGCCCCGCTATGGGAAAGAAGGTGAGAGGCCAGTCCATCCCCTTATCAGCTGTCAGAGAGAAGGCACAGGCTCCTCCCAGAGAGCCTGGCTGAGGTAAGCAGGAGACAGGAGCAGCCAGCCCAGACAGAGCTAACTCTGCAAGGCTTGAAAAGCGGAATCCTTTGAAAGGGCCGGCAGAGGCCCTCCCGGGTCCATCTCCTCCAACATCTGTTACCTCAGTTCCCTCAGCTTTTTTTTTTTTTTTGTCTCCACTTCAAGTATTGTTTTTGGATCAGGAAAGCAATCTTTCATAAGCCTCTCTGGTCACTTCCTTTGCCCCTTGGTGGCACAGGACTAGGCCCCTATCACAGGAACAGGGACCTGCCCTCCTGAGCAAACTTCCTGAGGCCAGTGTGAGCTGAGGCCTGCTCACACTGCTAGGGTGGAGCCCACCTGCCACCCACCAACCTCTGGATAACAGTGAGGGGGCACCCGAGGGCAGAACCAGAGGTGCTTTTAAGATTTCAAAGAAGCAAGTAACTGGAGTGCTTTCCCACGGCAGAGAGATCAAGCCTCCACATTGTGCTTCCAGGCAAGTAATAAAAGTGGACGGTGTACGATTTTCACATGGTGGTGCTCTGGTTCTCTTGGCAGGGCAGGGACAGGTGAAGGCTAGTTACAAAACCCGCCCTGAGCCTTCCTCTGTCCAAGTTCACCCATGTCCACACAGTTGAAGGTGCCCAGTCAGGTTCTCTTAGCTGTGGCCCAAAGCTTCCCAAACCCCAAGGTGACTCTCTGTGCCTTTACCTACAGCGAACACGCAGCTGTCTGTGGGCAAACACATTCCTCTGTCTGTCTCGGAACCACCTGTGGATCTGTGTGCTCCTTTGCAGCCCAGCTTCAGGAAAGGCAGCCAAGACCCACTGTCTCCCAGTCTCCTTCTCTCCCCTACCCACAGCCATGTGGCTTCTGCTACAGCACTGCCCAAAAGCTGCACTGGCCAATACAATCACTGACCTTTGGTGCCACCTCGGCCAGGACATGCCCACTCGGTCCTTTCCGCTGAATGTGACACCACCATTGTAAAAGCTTGTCCTAATTTGCTTTCCTGTTGTGATAAACACCATGACCAAAAGCAACATGAGGAGGAAGGGGTCTATTTCAGCTGACAACTTATGGTCCGTTATCTAGGAAAGCTGAAGCAGGAGCTTAAAGCAGAAACCACGGAAGCGCTGCGCTTATCAGCTCGCTCACTCTGACTTGCTCAGCTAGCTTTCTTATACAGCCAGGCCCACCTGCCTAGGGATGGCACCGCCCACAGTTGGCTGGGCCCTTCTGCACCTGTTGGCAATCAAGAAAATGTCTCACAGGCATGCCCCCAGGCCGGTCTGATGGAAGCAATTCTTCCATTGAGGCTCTCTCTTCCCAGGTGTGTCAAGCTGACAACCAAGTTCACCACCACAAAGCTCCTAGTTCTTCTCCCGTAAGGAGGATAATAGCAATACACATATGCCATGGAGTTGTCTAGAGGACAAGAAATCAGTCCACACTGTGAATACAAAACATGGATACATCTCGGAAACATTGAGTTGAGAGAAAGAACTCAGGAATATATATGGTGTGATTCCACTTACGTGGAATCCTAGAGTAGGCAAAAGTGACCTGTGGTGACAGAAGCAACAGCAGATGCCTACTGAGAGAAAGATGCAATTAACGTAAGAGGGCCGGGTGGGCGGTGGTGGCACACGCCTTTAATCCCAGCACTCGGGAGGCAGAGCCAGGCGGATCTCTGTGAGTTCGAGGCCAGCCTGGTCTACAGAATGAGTTCCAGGACAGGCTCCCAAGCTACACCGAGGAACCCTGTCTCAAAAAACAAAACAAAAGAACGTGAGAGGGACTGGTGAGGCAGCTGGTGGATAAAGTACTTGTCATGCAAGCCTGGGGATTTGAGTTTGATCCTCAGAACCCACATACAGGTAGAAGAACAGAATCCATTCCACAATGTTGTCTTAATATGTGCCTCCCCAGCAGAATAACAATAACAAGTAATTTTTAACAGCCTAAGAAAGCTTGCAGGGTGACAGGAATGAACTTTGTCTTGACGGTGGTGTAGTTTGCAAGGGTATGTGAGCCAGTCAAAACTCATGGAGCCATATGCTCCAACTGGTGCATTTTACTGTATATATACAAATTATAATCTAAGAACGAAAGAAAATGCACAGTGAATGTAGTCATGCACTGCATGAATGGTGAATGGTATCCATGAACAGACCACATGGATAATGGCAGATCCACAGGTGGCAACACGTGGTGATGCCATAGCTGCCTTAGCTTATGTAAGTCCGTACTGTTATACCCAGCCATGATGAAATCACCTAATGAAGCATCCCTCTGAGTGCAAGCCTGCGGCTAAGCACAGAATGTACACAAAATGTTTGTCTAGTGCTTGTGTATGGGAGGTGTTCACCGAACATTGGCCACAGCATTGTCTACTGTCTATGGCACACTGGCTAGAATCAAAGCCTGGGGACCAGGTCTGTTCTGTTCTCTGTACAGTCCCTGGCATCTCATACATTCCCAGTTTCATCTCAACAGGACAATGCATATAAACTGAGAGGATGAGGGTGTGGACTCCCATAAAGGCACCAGCGCCATACACCTCTGAAGCTCACGTGGTCTCATTGGCCTTCCAGTGTCTTCTAGCTTCTTTACCCAGATGTGGGGCTCCTCACTCCCTCACCCATGGGCCCTCTCCCTGGCCTTCCACCTCATCAGATCTGACCTTCCACTCCGTGCTGGAGTCTGGGGTCCCCATCCACAGGGAAGGCACTTCATTGAACATTTACACCCATGGAGGAGAGAGATAAGAAGCTCCCTTAGGTTTGGAGCTCATGGAGGAGGACAGATGGGGTCTCAGGACTGAGCGGGGAAATAGACATGACCC